GACCCATCCTGCTGCGGAAGAGAGGGGAGCCAGCTAGAGCTGCCCAGCTGCTCCCTGCACAGCGGGTGCACCTAGGCTAGGAGCAAGTGTGCAGGCAAGGCTGGAAGAGGAAGCATGAAGCAGACCCAGGAGGGAACTGAGATGAAGGCCCGCCACTCCTGGGCGTGGAGAGGGCTTATGGGTGACAGACGTGGGCAGGAATCTTCCTGAAGGAAGGGCGTCCTGGAGGGTGCGGGGACTGCCCTGCCGCAGAGGACACAGTCCCTTCCACATATTTCTGGTTGGTGGGCTGGTGGCCTTAGGGTTAGGTGACCCCCACACAGCTGCGCACATGGACTGTGCTCCATCTGATGATTGCTGTTGTATCTCTCATTTCCTTAACCTGGTGATCTGGGCTCCACTCCACCATCTCCTGTGAAGGACTTCTACTCGTCACTTGTCCTTTGTGGCCTTTTCCTCCTCTCCAGCCTACTTTGTGAAGTCCCAGTGTACTTCTGAGCCTTTATTGTTTGAACACTCTCTTCCCTCCTTCAATGGCACCCTACAAGTCCTGGCATCGTCCTCTTGGTAGGGAGCTGAAGCTGTCTTGGTTGTGTGGTTTCTCTCGACTTAGAGGGAGGGTGTGTATCACTCCTGTGCACTTCAGTTCTATGTAAACACACACCTGCATACTGAAAAAGATAAACACTATCGTTGTTGTACACTTGGCACTTGAATTGTGATATTTATCATACTTATGATCTTTTTCACTCTTTGCAATTTTCTATATCCATGGTCTTCCATCTAGGGTCATTTTCTTCTGCCTGGAAAATGCTCTTTAGAATTTCTCTGACATTGGATCTTTTGGGGTTGAAATCTTCCAGTTCAGTTTATCAGAAAATGCCTGTATCTCACCTTCATTCTTTACTTCTCTTTTAGAGCTGTGGATGAGATGCATGGCTGCCTGAGTGCTAACAAGTGCTCCACCACTGAGCCACAGCCAGCCCCTGTTCATTCTTAGTGGATGCTCAACTGCCACAGAATTCAGAGTTGGTTATCACTTTCTGGCTGCAAACTGAAGATCTGGATGTCACCTCCTTTGCTTTTCATTCTACCTATTCAGAAGTCTGCTGTTGACTTCACAGCTGCTCCTTTGAAGGTAATAGGTCTTGCTGTGCTCTGGCTGCCTCTGACACTCTGGTTTTCTGTAGTTTCTGGTGTCGTGTTTGGGTGTACAAGGAGAGACAAACATGCCTGTTATCAGGACAGCCCTGGAGATGGCCTGCAGGGCCCAACAATGGGCTGGCTCAGCAGGAAGGGCCCAAAAAGGCATGATGACACCATTCCAGGAGTCCCACGTGGAGATCCCCAGGAAGAGAAGTCCAAGTTCTTCCCACCCACAGAGCCTTGCTAGAAGCCTGATGTCTCCCTTGCCGCTTGCCTGATATGAGTGGAAGTTTGCAATTATCTAGTCTTAACAGTGTGGATTTCTCTTCCTTCCACTTGCTTGGAATTAGTTGGGCTTGAATTTGTGTTTTGGTGGCTTTCCTCAGTTTTGAAGGTCCTCTTGGTTGCTCTCTTGAGATAGGGCTTCTATCTTTCCCCTCTTGCTTCCTGGTACTTTGAGTAAAAGTCTTTTTTGTACTCTACTATCTCCTATTTTCTGTTTGCAATTCATGGCTTTACTCTGGATAGTTTCATCTGACTTATTTTACTAGTTCTCTTGGCTCTTTTTAGTCTGCATTTAGACCTTTAAAAATCAAGTTCTGGAATTTGTAATTTTCAGGACTGGAATTTGTATCTGACTCTTTCTAAAGTATATCATGAGACTCTTATGGGCTCTAGTTCTGTGCCTGAACCTCCCAGTTACACTGGCTTTGTCCTTGAACTTAATGAGTGTGGCTGTTTCAGATCTGTGTCTCAGACTGTACTCTCGGGAACTTTTCCTGCCCCAAGTTCCCACTAGCTCTCATTCACTCATTCCATGTGTAAGGTGATTTTTATGTGCGCTGGTCATTGAATTTGAAAGTCATTATAAAAATAATCTGTCAATCCTCGGTACTAGAAAAAAAATAATTTGAAGCTTAATGTTTTATCTTCTTCCAGAAAAGATTTTTATTTAGTTTTCAGTGCTGGGGCTCAAACCCAGGGCCTTGTACATGCTAGGCAACCACTACTACTGAGCTACAGTTCAGCTCTAGAGAAAATTTTTATTTACAAGGCCAGGCTCTTGGGGATCATAGACGTTCAGGGCCATCTTAATTCAAGTTCCAGTTTTCAGGAACTTGATGTAGTCAATACAGAGCACCACACTTGCTATGGGCCCAGAGTACTGTATTTACTTGAGAGGGAGTTTCCCCTTGTTTGGGTGGGCTGGACCCCAAAGTGGACAGTGGGTTGCCTATGATCTCAATCTCAGCATGCTCTGAATTTTACTTTTGTTCCTTGAGCTTTAAGAGGCTTTGCTCGGCCTCTCCCATGTCTTGTCCAGATCAGCAAGCAGTGTCTGGCTCACCATCTCACCACCTCCAGGCGTTCGTCCCTGTAAGCCACTTACTCTCTCCATGTTTGTATTTGTCCAGCTTTACTAGTTTTCTCATTAGGAAGGTACACCTGTATTCTGTAGTCCACTGTTGATAAGCACAGAAGTTCCTCCCAGAAATAGTAACTGTCAGCTGAGTGCCGATCCTTCTTTTGGTACTGATTTTAGCATGAATGCCCCCAGGGCAAACCCTCATCATGTCCAATGCTGCCTTCTGGGCTAATAAATATATCTTATCATGCTAAAGAAGTCATTGATTTACTTTATTGACTATTTTTAATCAAAAAATGGGTGTTGGATTTGGTCTAATGCCATTAGAATAGCTATGAAATGATCTTTTATTCTTCTCTTGGCTCTGTTTACATAATTTATTATGCTATTGAATTTCTTAGTATTGAATCATCCATGCATTACTAAAATAAACCATACCTATTATGATGTCATATATATATATATTGGGGGGGCTGAGACAGGGTCTCACTATGTAGTTGAGAGTGATCTGGAATTCATTATGTAGCCCAGGGTGGTCTTAAACTCACAGGGATCCTCCTGCCTCAGCCTCCTGAGTGCTGGGATTACAGGCATGCGCCACCACACCCGGCTTGATGTCATATTTTTAATGTGTTGTTAGGAAATATTTTATGAAGGGTTTCTACACTTTCATAAAAGACTGGCATGTAGTTTTGTATAAGGTCTGAATGAGAGTCTGGTATCAATTTATTATACTTGCTTTTTAGAAGCACTGGGAGCTTTCCCTTTACAGGCTCAGGAACAGAGCAGAGGCTGCTTTTCCTGCTCTGTTTTCTGTACGGTCTCTGAGAGTTTGACAGGTTCAGGAGTCCTTGTCAACTCACAAGAACCACAGTTCCAAGCAAGGATTTTAAAATGCAGGGTGTGCTCTGCTCATCTGAAGCTCTGTCTCTGAGCTGGGCATCGCCTGCCCCAACTCCCAGGCCCTGGCTTCATTTCTCTGGGTCCAGACACCTCTGCAGACCCCTGACGCATTGTGTGCTCTTCACAGCACTCACCACCTCTCCCCCTCAGTGACTGGGGCTCGTGTAGCTGGACTAGGAGTGTCACAAAGGCTATGACTGGGTCTTCAATTCTCGCAAAGGCTCCAGCTCTGGGAGGAGTCAGGAGGCTTGTGAAGGACAGACCCCACCAGCAGGCGGCCAGGATCACTGACAAGACCTCAGCAGACAGATGGTCCTCCCCTGAGCACAGCTGCAGCCCAGAGGTCCCTTACTAGAAGAGCATGATTAGAAATCCTCTTTCTTTGTCCATGCCCCATGCCCGGCCTTGTCATTCAGCTTGGCCTGGAAGACATGCAGCAAACAGAAGCACACCAAAGCGATGGGAGAACCACAGAGCTTACCCTACAGGTAGCAGGGGGCAGGATGAGAGTGAACTGATGACAACACAGCAGGGCTCAAGGACCTGCACCCAGGCCCAGCAGGAGCAGGGGACAGCATAACACAGAAGGCTTGGGCTGGAGAACAACACCAGACACAGTGACCCAGACAGCCAGCTGGGAGAGCCAGAGGCCTGGAAGAATGGCCCCAGGCACAGTGAAGCACGGGGGCATCTGTGCACACTCACAGTCAGAAAGAAAAAGGACAGACAGCCTGGGTTCCGTGAAAAAGCTACTAGTCTCTGTAAAAATCCTCACCTAGGTTAGTTAGTGGAGTCTCTTCCACTTGGGCATAAAAAAGTCAACTCAGTAGCTTAAGCAAAAAAGAATAAAAAGCAAAGAAAGGAGAGAGGGAGAGAAATAAGAAAGGAGGAGGGAGGATACACCCCAGTGACCTACAGCTCTGTAGATGGCGCCCCAGCCAGGGCTCCTCCAGGCCACAGACTGCCTTCTGCCTCAGGGCTGATCCAGGCACCATCACAGCAAGTCACAGTGCACAGTTACACAATCAGTGACACACTCAAGAGTTTACCTACCTGGCAAGCCCTGATGGCAGAGCCATGGAAATGTACCCCTGAAAAGGGGGCAGGGAGCTGTGTGCAGGGAAAAACAGAGCCAGCCACAGAGCAGACGTGGGCCTTTGCAAGACGGCACCATGGCCATGGGAGACAAAGGGAGAGGCCTGTGGACAGGAAGGCCTGGCCAGCCTCCCTTTTCTCTGACCACCGCATCGTTGAGATGGGGTGCATGGCACTGCTAGGCAGGTGCAGATTTGTCATTCATACCCAAGCCCACACACCCCACCTTGCCACATGTGGCGCTCGAGCCCTGGCACACAGGCGTTCAGACCAGGAGCTTCTGGCACCACACTGTACCCTGGGGCCTTTGCTAAAGGTCGTGTTAGTGAAGACACAAGGCAGGGCTGATGTGGAAGAATCTGCAGGGGCACACCTCCCTCCGTGTTGCAGGCTGCATTTATTAGGACCCATGGGCAGCGTGGGACACCGAGCATGGCTCTGCCTTAGCACCAGGTGGGCTCCAAGGTCTGCAAGGTGACGGTCAGCATCCTGTAGGCTCCCTTCCTCTTAGCGGCCGGTCCCCAGGCAGCCCTGAAACACAGAGCGCCCACACCTCAGCACATCCCAGTGCTAGCTGCCTCGACTTCCCTCAAGTGCACAGTCAACTCTCTGAATCTACTACAGCTTGTTTCCATACAAAGATTCAACCAACCCTGAATCAAAAATATTACAGGGCCGGGGGTTTAGCTCAGCGGTTCGGTGGCCTGCCTTGCAAGCGCAAGGACCCAAGTTCAATCCCCGGTACCAAAAAAAAACCAAACAAACAAAACATTATAAAAGAGCAATAAAAAAAATAACAAAAACACAAATTGAAAAAACAGTATAACAACTAATTCCATAGCACTCCTATTGTACTGGGTACTGTAAGCCAGGCAGAGGCAGGAGGGTGTCTCCTCTCTATTTCCCCCGAAGGCCTTGGGCATCCTGAAGGCACAGGATGATGGCAGGTGCGCTATGTACTTCTGGGGGCACCAACTGTAAGGCCAGAAAAGCCATCAATATTTTCTCCTCGCTAACCTCGAGGAATGGAACAGATTTCCTTCACACACAAAGCCCATACTTCTGCCCTTCTGCTACATGCAGGTCAGATGCACACAGCCCCTGGCTACTGGACAGAGGGACGGGCTTGCTGGCCCAGCACCACAGAGCAGTTCCCTCCACTGCCTGCAGCTTCTCCTGGTGCCCACACCACTGCACGCATCCAGGGAGGTTCCAAGAGGGATTTGCTGCACTTCACGAGGTGAGGAGGCCCATTTGGCAAGTTCAGAACCAACCCCGAGTTCTAAGAGCAGATGTGGCTATGCAGCCGCCACTCTGGGAGATGGCTTACCACATAAGTGTGTTTTGTGTGCTGAGAAAAGACAGATGGAATGCTGGTGAATGACCCTTGAATAAACTCAAGAAGGGACAGGTACAAAGCAGGATAGTCCACTCACTCTGAGGAGAAAAGTTTTACTGGGGGAAAACTTTTTTTTCTAAATGTAGTGCTCAGATCAGGTGTGGTGATGCATGCCTGAAATCTCAGCATTCAGGCCGGAGGACTGCAAGTTTTAGGCCGATCTTGGCAACTGAGTGAGACACTGTCTCAAAATTGAAAAATAAGAGGGGCTGGGATAGAGCCCAGCACCCCTCCAACACGTCCTCTCTGAGTGACGCCTCTGCCTGGAAGGAACCCGCTCTCCTGGTGCAAGTGGGGAGGGGACAGCAGCCTCAGCAACCACAGCTTGGAGGATCTAAACTCCTCACTGTGCAGGGTGGCCCCACAGGAAGCTGATTTCCCAGGCTGGCTCTAGTGCCCAGTTAGGGTACCAGATGCCCACTTCAGAGCTGGTGTACCATTCCCCTCTGTGGGTCCCCGCGGTCCCCACCTGTGTTATCCCAAACTCCAAAAGCACCACATGGCTCTTGCACCATAGGAGGCATCAGAAGAACTAAAAGTATGCTTTTACTTTAGGATATTTTTCACATACTGTTGTTTTTGGTTTTTGGTTTTTTGGGTTTTTTTGGTGGTGGTACCAGGGATCAAACTTGAGCCCTTGCATTTGCAAGGCAGGCAGCGGAAGCACTGAGCCAAATCTCCGGCTCCCACATATTATATTTTTAAAAACCGCTTTTTTACCATTCTTCTGAAGAACCTGTAGAAGAGGTTTCTCTTTGGCCTCGGAGCTGGAGCACATAACTTCTCCTCCAGATGCCTGTTTTCATAGTCATTGATGTCCTTGAAGCATCCAGACTCGATCATCTGCACACAGAGAGGACAGAGGAGCTGTGCACGTGGTGAGTTGGGGTCTCCTGCTGCCATCAGCTCCCAGCCAGGCCGGGCCCAGGTGGGTGCTGCAGAGAACCTGTTGCTCCTGTGCCCTTCCCCGCAGTCCCTCTGTCCTGCTTCCTGACTTCTCTGGATCTGTAATGTGGCTTCCTCCCTCCCTCCAATGGTACCCCAAAGCAGCTGCGGAGGGAGGAGGGCCCCACTGGGGTGGCGAGTCCTGTTGGCTGCAAGATGGCTGCCTTGTCCATTTGCTGTAACCGAGACCAGAGTGGCTCCCGTGCTCTGGCAATTACTGGTATGGTCTCGGCTTGCCTGTAGTGTAGGCCCAGGGTCAAAAGTCTTGCACAAGTCGGGTGTTGTGGCACATGCCTACAACCCCAGTATTCAGAAGGCTGGGACAGGAGGATCACTGCAAGTTCCAGGCCAGCTTGGGCTACACAGTGAGTTTAAGGCAAGTCCAAACTATATAGTGAGACCGTGTCTCAAAAACACCAAAACAAAACAACACAAGTCTTGCATAAATTTACACATAAATGCATACACACAACACATACTGTTGTCATTGCTGGAACTAGCACAAACCCGCTTTGCTGGGCATGCCTGTACCTCTCTCTGCCAGGGAATGGAGACACACCCTGTTGCAAATTGAGCATAGAAGTTGTCATCTGTGGTGTCCAGGTAAACGCCTTTCACCACGGAGAACTGCCCGATATCCAAGACGTTCTTGCAATAGACAGCATTTGGCTGCATACCAAGAACAGAGAGGTATAACTTATGAGAGGGCAGCATAACTGTCAGCTACAGAATCCATGAGTAACACTGCCATTCCCCTCTCCATACACTGTCACCGCCCTCTTTTGAAGCATTCTCCTAATTCATACAAGGTGAATCTCTGACTTGGCAGTTCCTGAGATCTTTCTGGAAATGTCCCCCTTCTAAACACACTCACACATGCACACACACACACACACACACACACGTGCACACATGCGTGCCCCTCCTGAGAGCCCCTTCTCCCTTCTCAGTGGAAAGCGGATGCTGCAGTTCCCGGATGGAGAAGGATGGGACAGGGCAGCACCAGAGGGCTACAGAGGCGCGGCAACCATCAGCTGTGGCACCCATGAGGGGCCTGGTATCTTCCTCCAAAGCACCTGCTCCCAACTGGGAAAGTGACAATGTGCTTGTGCCCTTGCCAGGCTCGCTGATGCCCCCGGTGCCCTTCCTCCTGCTTGTCTCCACAGTCTATAGAGCCCTTCCCTGGGATCCCAACATGGCCCTGCCATTCTCAGTTGCAAGAGGCCAGCCATCCATGCAGGGGTGCCCAGGCCTGGGCCTCCCCTTCTGCCAGAGCAGCAGCATGTGCTTCCTGGCTGAGAACACAGAGCACAGAGGTTGGCAGCACAGGAAGGAGGCAGTTTGAGGGTGTGAGAAGATATTTCCCTGCTTGCCAGAATTCATGCAAACATCAAGCGCCGGGGCAAAGCAGTGGCACTGTGGTCACAGGCAGCATGGCAGTTGCTGTCCATTCACTCACCCCACAGGTGGGGAGGCTGGGCCCAGGGAAGGCACCCTGTGACCTGAGCCCAGCCCTGGCCCTAACTCCACACCAGCCCACACCAGCAGGGCCTGCCCCGGAAACCTCGGCTGTGGCTCCCCTAGGCTCTTCAACTCATACTGCAGGGACACAGACAGTCAGGGATGGCCCTGCGCCCCTACCCTGCATGCTCCCCTCTTCAGAACTGTGGACATGTCCCACCTTGGACACAGCCTTCCCTGCTCCCAAGCCCAGCAGCCCTGCTAAGGTCACACAGTCCCTCTGACGGCCCTGCCATGCAGTCCTCCCTGAGATGGCACCTTCCTGGTGTGCTGCCAGCCTGCTACCACCTGTCTCTGCAGTGGTATGGGCTCCTTGGAACAGAGGCCTGGCCTGGCTTACTCTCCCTGTGGCCTTCTTTTTTTGGGGGGTGGATTCCTGGGGATCAAACCCGGACCCTTGCACTTGTGAGGCAGGCAGTGAACCACTGAGTTAAATCCCTGGCCCCTTGTGGCCTTAATTCTTAAGAGCAGGGCCTGGCAAGTAGCAGCCACTCACCAAATGACTAGGAAACAGTTACTATTCTGGAATATGAACACAGTCAAGTCACCAAATTCCAAACATTCGAGTTACAAACCTTCTTGGGTATACTGTATAACTCACTTTTGACTTCTGAATGAATCTCACTTATGAACAATTCTCCCAGAATGAAACTTGCTCATAAATCGGGGATTTACTATATGAAGTAAATCCGGCAAGTCCTACAGCTGAAAATATCGTCATGGTACATCTATCTTCACTCCATCAACCCTGAAAATTCCCTATCTTCAAATGTCTAGAACAGTGCTGACGAACCTATGGGCCCACATGCCACAGAGGGCTAAGTGCATCATCGAAAGCTCTGTTACTGCTTTTCTTTTAATGTCTGAGTTGCTTTTCTAAACTAAAACCTCAGTGTTCAGGTTTAACTGCAGAGTTGGCACTCAGATAAATAAGTGGGTTTGGGGTTGCAGTTTGGGCGCTCATCTCTAAAAGGTTCGCTGTCGCTGTTCTATAGTTTGTGTCACAGCCCGTTCAGGACAGAGTCCAGGCTGCGTTCACTCACTCATCTGCTCATGATTTAATATGCACCTCATCCCCAGCAGATGCCAGCAAGGCCAGGCCCTGTGCTGAGCACTCATTTGGCCCCAACAGCAAGGTCACAAGGAGACACAGTGACAAGGCTGGGCTCTCTGGAGATACTGAAGCAGATGCTCGCCGTGTGGGAGGGCGGCACCGAGGGCGGGAAGGTACTGGCACATGCAGCCCTGAAAGGCCTTGGGATGTTGGCGGTGGTGCATGGGTCTCTGGGAAGGGCAGCAACAGTGACAGCAAACCCTGGGCCCTGAGCCACAGGGCTTCTACGAAGGTGACAGGGGACAGAGGAAGAAGCAGCAATGATGGAGTAGGGGACTCTGTATCTGCTTCAACCAAAAGTTTGCTCCTGGGGACCCAGAGACTCAGGGCAGTGTACTTACATCAGGGCGGAAGGGGGGCTCCAACATGTTTGCCTCCAGCCTGCTGAAGTTAATGTCCTTGAAAATGGGGTGCTTTTTCACCCCAGCAGCACCATCACCTCTGCAGCCCAGCCGTTCACTCGGATTCTTGGTGAGTAACTATACAAGGTGAGGCAGAAGCAGAGTCAGCGTCAGGCTACAGAGGAAGACCTAAGGCCACTGTGCAGGACGACCACGGGCTAGGGCAGCAGAGGGCACCTGCAGCTGACAGACACGGCCACGCGTCCGGTTCAGAGAACGGGCCTAACTGCCGGACTTTGCACTGCTTCACACAAGGAAGGGCTCCACTTGTTTTTGAGCTCTCAATAAATAAGGATTTAGCTAAGTTAATTCCTTAAGTAAAAAAAATTAATAGAAACTATTAAGGACTTCTAAGATACCACCATAAGGTTGTTATACAGTATAACTAGAAATGGGCCAGGGATTTAGCACAGTGGTACAGTGCCTGCCCTTGCAAGCACAAGGTCCTGAGTTTGATCCCCAGTAACAAAAAAAGAAAGATAATTAGAAACTCTTTTTTTTTTTGGTACTGGGGATCAAACTCAGGCCCTTGCACTTGCAAGGCAGGCGGTAGAACCATTAAGCCAAATCCCTGGCCCTAGAAAACATTTTTAATCTATTCATTAAACATCTTTTTTTTTTTTTTTTTTTTTTTTTTTGCACTCAGGTCCTTGTGCTTGCAAAGCAGGTGGTGAAACCACTGAGCTAAATCCCCAGCCCATTGAACAGATCTTTAAGGGCCTCAGGTAAGGCAAACATTTAGTAAAATTATTTTTTGTCATTTGTTTCTGGAGACAGGGTCTCATATAGTTCAGGCTGGCCTTGAACTCCCTGTGTAGCCCAACTGGCCTCAAACTTGTGGCAATCCTCCTGCCTCAGCCTCCCAAGTTGTGGGATTACAGGTATGCAGTACCACACCCAGCTAAATTTATTAAAATTCTTTCTAGAAATTGTATATTCTTAAAATTAATAGAAAGTGTCTCCAAAGTATTCCTTACAAACATATTTACAAATGACACAAATTCAAATAAGCCTTTCTCCATAATTACAGCTATCAGAGCCAGGTGTGGTGGCACATGCCTGTAATCCCAGAACTCAGGAGGTTGAGGCAGGAGGATTGCTGTGAGTTCGAGACCAGCCTAGGCTACATATGAGTTCCAGGTCAGTCTCAACTACATAGTGAGACCCTGTCTCAAAAAAAACAAAAAACAACAACAACAATAACAACAAAACCATAATTACAGCTATCACAATTACCAATCCAAAAGGGTCATGCTGCTGAAGGTGGTGGCTCATGCCTGCAACTGCAACTACTCATGAGGCTGAGGCACAGAACTGCTTGAGCCCAGGACTTCAGGACCAGCCTGCTAGACCCTGCAGTCATGTGGCAAAGCAACACACTAAAGGTCCGAAATTCCACATACAGCCAAGACAGGGCTGGGAAACTAGAGCCCAGGGCCACATGCCACCAGCTGCCTGCTCCCAAGTAAGGCTTTGTTGTTACACAGCCAAGGCACCAACAGCCCTGAAGTTGCCTCGGGGACCTGCAACGCCCACTGATGCTTTGGCTATCTGGCCTCTTATAGAGGAACCTGCTGATCCAGGCCAAGATGGACACCCAGTTCCCGTGGCTTTTCTGAAAATGAGCCAGAGTCTCCATATCCAGAAGGCAGTCTGGTCCCGCTTAGGTGAGGCCGCACTTGGACGCCATCTCCACCCTCAGGCTGAGCTCTCTGTCTTCCTGGGCTCTGTCATGCCTGCCCCAGGGCCATGTCTACAAAGCTCTGCCTGGCAGAGTCCTGAGCCCCCTGCCCTGCACTGGATCAGGTTCCTCACCTCCCTAAGGACAGCCGCAAACACCCTGCACAGGCCCGTGTGACATTCATCGTTGCTGATACAAACAATCCTTTGGGTAAATGCACCTACTCCAGTCGAAGCCTCATGAGGCAGGGTCTGTGGGCTCTCACAGCCACTGCTGTGTTTCCAGCACTTCAGCAGAGTAGGCGCTCAATAACAACTACTCAATGCTTTCATTATGTGCATGCTTTGTAAATCTAAACCAGATCTGAGAATTAAGTGTAAGGCCAAATACTATTCCTCATCTCAGATGCCATTGTGTGCCGTCAAAACCCCAAGCTGAGGACTGCCATGGCTCAAGAGCCGCATGTCAAACTGAATCCTCAACTCCACAGTATTAACAGGTGGGGACTTTGGGAGGTGAAGAGGACAGAGCCCTCATGAACAGGATTCATTCCCCTTATCCAAGGTCCGAGGGAGCGTGCTTGCCCCATCACCATGGGAGGCCACAGCGAGAAGGTGCAGCCATGAGTCAGAACTCGAGCGCTCACCAGACCCCGGGGCCTGCCAGCACCTTGCCCCAGCTTCCAGGCTCCAGACTGTGAGTGGGACGTTTCTGGTGATTACCTACTCAGAGATTCTGCTATGGCAGCACATGTGCACCAAGATGTGGCCTGACCAGGCAGCTCGGGATTGTGTCTGGGCACTGGGTCTCCTGCTGCCACCTACTGTAAAGAGCCAGCCCTTCTCTTTCCTCTTCTTGCCTCTCTCTGCTGCCCACAAGCTAACACCCTCGCCCTACACCACACCTGGCTCATTCCTACTACAGATGTGTGGATGGCACGTGGGCCAGCTAACAGGACGTGGAGGGCACAAGGGCAAGGCCTACTAATGGTGCACACCCTGCCTGGCCCAGGCGTACGCCCAGCCCTGTAGGAGCACCTCCTGTCTTCTCTCCAAGCTGCCTGCGTCCACTTTGTTGGCTGGATGTAAACCATCCCTCAGGGACCAGCTGCTTCCCGCCATGGCAGCTGTGAGGACTGGGACCTGCACTCAGCACCTGGCCTGTATATCTCACGGTACTGAAGTTCTCTCCCTGAAGGACTGAGGCTCGTCACAGGAAGCTGACTCCAAAGCTCCTGCCCCTGCTCACGACACACACTGCACCTTGTCTGGACACTACCTGCGGCACAATGGGATTTCATCCTGTAAACCTTTAAGCCCTTCTTTTTGTCTTGTCTGTAGCACCCACCAAATTCTGCTTTTCTTCCTTTGTTGTTGTCAGGGTTAGGCCTAATGTTGAGCTGTGAGCTCATTAGGGACAGGCTGTACCTGTTTATATCCCTGCAGTCCACCAGCTACATGTATCAAGCTGAATAGAAACAGAGCTTGATCAGAATGCTGTGAACTGCTGTCAGTCAAGCCATGAGCCTGTAACTCTGTATATGGAAACAAAACAAAAAAAGACTGGAATAATTATAGTCCAGTCTCAACCATTCATACGGTCACCAGTACAACTGCTGGTGACTCCACCACCCATGAAGGGCACCCATACCTGGCCGCTCTCCCTCTCCCCCGCCCCCAAAGCCACTCTCTCCCTGCATCACATCCTCAGCTGCTCAGGACCAGAAGCAGGACCTTGTCAGCCCCATCCCAAGCAGCTTCCTCCTGTGTGTCCCTCCAGGCATTCTGACTCTGCTCCGCAGGATCCAAGGCACCCACTCGCTCCTGTGACAGTTGGGTAGGTGTCTGTCAATTGGATGGGCTTGGGAGCTGCCCAGCGGACCAGGACTGCCCAGGAACTCTAGGTGTCAGGTAGTGGTGTAGGGGTGACCTTGGGGTCTGTATCTGGTCCCTGGTCCTCCCTCTCTGGCACCATCCCTTGCTCTGGTTCCCAGCCCCATACTATGTTGTCCTCTTCCACCGTGATGTCCCTGCCTTGGAAGCAGATGCCCCTGGACAGAATCCTCCGAAATCATGAGCCAGATGGGCCCTCCCTGTAGGTTGTGGCCCTTGGGTATTGTGTCTCAGCAACAGGACAGCTGACCAAACCTGCCTTTTCCGGACACCCCTCCTACCAGCACCAGCCAAACACCCCAGAGCTGGCCTAGCCTGGTGCCAGTCCTGCTCCCCTGGAGCCTGTGACCATCTGCTGAGCAGGACCAGAATACAATACATGCTCAGTGGCAGAAGCCTCCTCCACTTTGTCCTTCACACACCTCCTCTGCTCTCATACCTCCAACACCTCCCTGTCCCCTGTGCCCAGAGGCTGAGGACCAAGAAGCCCCGCTGTGCTGGCTCCTGCCCTCCTCCCTGAGAAGCGTCTGCTCTGGCCATCGCACTGACCCCTCCCCTCCACCCTGATGAATCCTGCAGGCTCTGCCTTCAGATCTACCCAGAATCTGACCACTTCTCACACCTGTCCTGCCACCCCCACTGAGCTGAACTGCTGCGAAGTCTGTACCAGCCTCCCTCCTGCCAGTGCTCTGTCCCCAGTCCTGCCCCTCTGTCTAAATTGCAGCCCCTGGCGTCCCATCCTCCAGAGCCCAGCCCATCCTGTGCCACCACATGCCAACCTCTGGGTTCTGCCCCACCCCTAGCACCCTGCCACAGGATTGGGCAGAGGGCTGGATCCCCAGGACCTAGCACAGTGATTGAAACTGAGATACTCAACTAATCCTTTTAAATGTGATATAAAAATGGTTTACGGTAAGTAATAAAGGGAGCTTCTCTCGATTCAGCACCTGGGCAGGCCTAGGTGGTATAAACGGTCCGCTCCAAGGTGTGCAGAGCCCAGTGATTTTGCTCAGTCTGTGCCCAGCGGGCCAGGACTTGGCCTCTCTGCCGCCGCCCCATGGCACAGGTGCTCACAGCAGCCTTGCAGCTCTGCCTATCTGCCCAGCACCACCATAGGGCAGGCCCACCATGGGCCTTTGCATCAGAGTGTCTATGATGTCTACAGTCCTGGCACTGGTTCAGAGGGGAAAGTGACAGAGACAATGATGTTCCCATTTCAGAATACATTAAAGGATAGTTTGGGCTGCTCAGTCACATCGTGCCTGCCTGGGAAGTGCGAGGTCGTGAGTGTGATCCGTGGTACCAAAATTACAGAATAAAATGAAAGGTGGTTTTAGGTTTCATCCCATACACTGTCGGCTAACGAAACAACTCTTGGCTATTTTCTGAAGACTGAATAATAACTTTGGCACCACTCCTCCTCTCAACAGCGCCATCTGGTTTCACTCTGCTTTCATCAGAAACCCAATGAAGTCCCCCCAGCTCAGATCTGGGACATCTCTTGCTGCCTTTAGTGCAGAGATGAAGCCCAGATGGTCAGCAGGAGGGGACAGCGGGCCGTGCGCTTCCCAGCCCAAGCTCTGCGTGCTGGGCAGGGCTTCCGGAGCAGGGCACTGCTTGCACCTACCCTCCTGAGCAGCCACAGGGTCCCCAGCACCAGGGACCCCAACCCACCATCCTGCAGATGGACTTGGCATCCTCTGAGAACTTCTCCGAGTATTCCTCAGTGTCAGTCCTCACTCTCCGCTCCACCTCTTCCCGCTTGACTTTCTCTTTGGGCTTTCTGAATGGAGAACGTCCCTGAATCATTTCATATATCAGACAGCCAAGTCCCCACCAGTCAGGACTAAATGTGTACTTTTCATTATTGATAACTTCTGGAGCTACATAACAAATATAGGAAATGTAATTAAATTTTCATTTAAAATTTTTCTACAATTAATTCCAAATAATACATTGTAAGTTTAATGTCTGTTACAACACGGATGAACCTTAAAAACATTATGTCGAATGAAATCAGGCAGTCACAGAGGGCCAAAATACCACAGGGGTCCATTCATATGAAACAGAAGATCTGGGCGTGGTGGCACACATCTGTAACTCCATACCCCAGGCTGAGGCAGGAGGATCGAAACAAAGTGTGAGCCCAGCCAGGCAACTTGGCCACTTAGTGAGACCGTGTCTCCAAACTAAAAAGGGTTGGGGATGTAGGTCAGTGTGAGGGCCCTGGGTTCAATCCCTAGCACTGGCAGGAAAAAAGAATATATAAATCTGTAGAGATGGAAAATCAATTGTGGTTGCCAGGCCTGAGGGTGGAAGGGAGAAATAAGGAGTCATCATGAATCCTGGTAGGGTTCTTTTTCTAGGAGATAAAAATGTTCTGAAATTAGTGCTGATGGTTGTACAACTCTGCAAATACACAAGATCAGCTGCATTACACACTTCAAGCTGGATGGTATGGTATGTGGATGCTATCTCGATGAAGCTGTAACTCCAAATGTTTTCTGCCTGTCCTGGAGGAGCCAAAATGCTGCGTGGCCCATGGTATGTGACAAAGGACAGTGGTGCTATGAGGAAGACTGTCCTGAGGGTGGTCCCTCCACTCAGATCCCAAGTGCATCACCAATATCTGATCCTCTGCTCCTTGCACAAACACGGGGGTGACCATGTCACCTGTGCTATGAACACCCCAGAAGCCAGGAAGGACAGGAACAGGGACAAGGTCTCCCTGCAGGGCTCCAAGAGGCCACCAGGGGGACACTAGCCCTGTCCACAGAGCCTGGGAGTAACCAGAACAGGGTGGTTTCCCAGGGGCCCACATGGCCCACTCCCCCGTGGCCTTTCTGCTCTGCCCTCGCATCCAGAGACCCCAGGCTCAGAGCCCTCCATGAGCCTCACTGCCTGTCTGTAAAGGGGGCTGGAGACCAGGGGACCGCTCCTTGCCCTCTGGAACTTCTCTGGGTGCTGAGCGGGAAAGCATGAGGACCACTGTGGTGGCCTGTCACCTACCCATGTAGCCGACGGTTCCAACCCTTCCTTGAACCATCTGGCCTTCTGGGACCTCCAGGGCTAAACCAAGGTCTGAAATCCGGATGTGTCCTGTGAGCGTTCAAACACAATGCACAGATCACGGGGAGAAGTAATGGCATTTCAGCACATTAGCAAGGGGGTAATCCTCTTGAAAGTCACAGATGAAAACACAGCATCTCATACTATGGAAACTTGAAATCTAAAATAACATTTAAGTTGTTCATATTTAGCAAAATTCCATACAATGCGGGCCGGGGATTTAGCTCAGCGGTTCGGTGGCCTGCCTTGCAAGCGCAAGGACCTGAGTTCAATCCCCAGTACAAAAAAAAAACAAAAAACAACAACAACAAAAAAAATTCCATACGATGCATTGTTTCACTAACAGGAGGAAATTAGATTTACACCTAAGAAAGCTCTTTAATCAGACGCAACAACTAGATAAGACAGAAGCACTGTACTTATTTTTGTGCTTCTTTAGAACTGCCAGATACATGTATAAAAATAAACTGAAGAGTATATCAACTACAAATAGCAAGCAAATAATTCCTGTTGGAGTACCAGTAGCTTTATATATAGGGATAACTATACATAAGTGATATAAAGGTTTTTTTTCTGGCACAGTCAGGGAAATAATAAAATGAAGGTACTTGGAGAAGTACACTATGTGCAAATGTCTTGTACATAGGAAGCTACCAGCATGTGTAGAATTCCCATGAAATAACCCTAGAGAGCAGTCTTCTGAGGACAGCTGTCACTGGTCTTGGACTTACCCTAAGGACCTCGTTTATTCATATGCTTCTTTACTGCAGCACCAGTGTTGAGGAGGGCACGAAAACAGGGATTGAAGGAATAAAGCAAGATGTAGGCTAACAACAAGAATTGTTGTTTGGTACTGGGGATCGAACTCAGGACCTTGCGCTTGCCAGGCAGGTGCACTGCCACTGAGCTAAATCCCTGGCCCCAAGAATTGTTAATTGGAGGGTAAATGTTCTTACTTTTGAGTTTCCTTTCATATGCTTCAAAAACTCTTAACTGAAAATCTAACCATCTCTGCTTCTTGCATAAATACAGGCGATAACAATGCTGTACAAATATTGTATTTAACAAATATTGTATCTAAAAACACACACTTCCTTTGTTGCTATTTCCATTCTGCATCAACTGGCCAAGCACTTTAACCTCTGACCAAGTCCCTGTACTGAGTCTACCACTAGGCGCAAAAGGCTGACTCACTTACCATAGTCATCCAGGAGGATATTCTCTGGCTTTAAGTCTCTGAAGGGGAAGAAACAACAGGCTGTTATGTAGAAGCAGCACTGTGATTCCAAAGTGCCCGGCAGAAATGACCACAGGTCCACAGATGTCTCCATGGTGACAAGCAGTAACCAGAAGAGCAGAATAGCAGACAAAAACAGGTCACTTTTGGGAGGGGGGAGTAACTGGGAACTGATCCTGGGGCCTTTGCACTGAGCTATATCCCCAAACCTTTTAATTTTTTATTTTGAGACAGGGTCTCACTAAATTACCCACACTGGACTCTGACTTGAGATCCTCCTGCCTCAGCCTCCCAGAATGCCGGTACTGCAGTCATGTGCTACATATCAGGGCTTGCAAAACCACTCTGTGAGCCCTTCACATTGTCATAGGTTTTCTTTGTTTTTTGTTTTTTTGTTGTTTTTTTTTTGAGATGGGGTCTCATTGCATAGTTGAGACTGACCTGGAATTCACTATGTAGCCCAGGCTGGTCTCCAACTCACAGTGATCCTTCTGCCTCAGCCTCCCAAATGCCGGGATTACAGGCGTGCGCCACCACGCCCGGCTGCTTGTCATAGGCTTTCGTGACAACAATATGCAAGTCAAGAAATCTACACTGGCCAGGGATTTAGCTCAGTGGTGCCACCGCCTGCCTTGCAAGCACAAGGATCCAAGTTCGATCCTAAGTACAAAAAAAAAAAAAATCTACAGGATTCACCTCAGCAAACAATTTATATATGGTGACAATTCAAAATGAACTGCTTTGCACTGTCATGCAGACCTGAAGACAGTTCAGTGATTAAGTCCACATCCCAGTAAGAGGGAAAGAAAGCAATTAACCCTTGATGAAGCTAGGTCAATCTCATCATCAATATATTTTTTAAAATTTCAACAACCAGTCATGTGTGGTGGTGCACACCTGTAATCCCAGCACTCTGGGAGGCTTAAGGGCCCAAGTTCGAGCCCAGGTGACAGGGAGATGCTGTGGGGTCCCACAGCAGGGGATGGCGCAGGGGATTAGAATTAGTGGGGGCCTGTCTCAAAATGAAAAGTAAAATAAAATGGGTTACAGATGTGGCTCAGAAGGAGGCCCTAAATTCATTCCCTTGCATCACACACACACACACACACACACACACACACACACACTCCACTGAAAATGTCCCATTTTGGAAGACCCCAGGTAGGGGGTCAGACAGGCAGTGTGGCCCTCGCTCTCTGAGCCCGCATCTTCATGTACACAGAGGAGTCCCAACCAATCCCATCTGTGCTCCTGCTGGCTCTGGGTGAGACCATGTCTTCCATCAGGAAGGCTGTGATGAGTGGCAGTTACTGTGTTGCGTAGCTCACTGTAAAGGTACAAGGGTTAAACCCAAGGCCCAGTAGGCAAGCAAGCGCTCAATCACTAGCCCTAGCCAAAAGACTAAAAATATCTAAAACTATTTTTTCCCCTTCAGAAGAATATCTTGTTTTCAAATAATTTATATTTCACTCTGATTTCACATTTGGCCTTTGGCAAAAACCCAGCTGCCCTAAGCACCACTGCCAATCCGCAGATGCCGCAGTGCAGCCCGGGAGGAGGGTCACACTCAGGTGGCCACTGGTCTCCACAGGAAGGGTGGCCAAGGCAGCAAGTACCCTTTGCTCAGTGACACACAGCGGGGCCATGTCAGCCTCACTGCCATGATGGCATCCCATTATATTTAACATGCCCACGCAATGGGTAAGGTGAAAAGATGCCTCATGTAGTCAAAGGTGGCTTTTTCAGAGGCAGCTGAGTGTAGGGTGAGTGATGCTGGGATTAAGGTGGGTGATTACCAAACCAATCCACCAACTGAGCCCTGCCCTAAGCCTGTAAGCCCAGACATACTACAAGGGACTGAAAGAGGCTGTCTTCTCCTTTGCTTGCTTTGCTACCTTCGGCCTTGCCATGGACTGTTTCTCCTCTCTGATGCCCCTCTGCCACCCTGCCTCGGAGCCAGCCGATTAGGGACTGAAGCCTCTACTGTGAGCCAAACAAACCTTCTTCCCCTAACTGTGGGTGTTGGGTATTCTGTCCCAGCAACAAGCAGAGGAACTAAGACACCTGCCCATGGGATGGGCAAGGTGAAGAGAAGCCCAAGATGTAGCAGGGCAGGACCAGCAAGACCAGGGCTTAGACTGAGCATGGGAACCCCAGAAATTAAGGGACAGATGGAAGAACTGTTCTCCCAAAACTAATTATACGGATTACATTAATTGGAACCATTCCATTTAATTTGATTTTCATTACTTAATTTTAAGGTGCAATAAAAGAAAATACTATTTAAAGACATTTAATAATGTTATTTTCTTTTTAAAAATAATGTTATTTTCTTTGACACAGTGAATATCCTTTTTAGAACTTTTGAAATAACTCAGAAGCTTGGAAAAGAGCTTTCTTGTATCTTTATCTGATCAACTTATATAAGAAACAAACTTCTGATTCGAGAAGACAATTGATTAGGATTAAAGAGAAACTAAACAGACGGCCAAAGCACTCCCTGACTGGCCACATCCCAGTGTGTGACAGACACCTGGGGGCTGCAATGGGGCTCTCAGCTGCCCCCTCCCCATGCAGAGAAGCTGGCGGGAAGTCCAGCGTTCTTACCTGTATGCAATTCTTTCCTTCTGTAGATCTTCCAAGCCACAGCACACCTCCGCAGCATAGAAAACAGCTCTCTTCTCATCAAAGCCGGGATTGCCCATGTTGTAAATGTGGAACTTCAAGTCCCCTCCATTCATGATGGTTAGCACCAAACACAAGGTTTCTTTGGTTTCATAAGTGTAGGCTAAGCTAACCTAAACACAATAGCACAAAAAACAAAACACAGAGAACCTGCTCATTAGTTGATGATCTGTTTGCCAACATTTGAATGATCTGTTAGACTTACAATCACAGCAAGCACCCAAATGCTACAGGCTGCAGGGAGACACACCTCGTGCACCTTTACCTGTCCAAGACCTTACCGCAGCTGTGCATGGAAAGGACAGAGCTTGCCCCATGAGTGGGTGGCAAAGCTTCCTGCAGACACACTGAGCTCAGTCCTGCACCCTGGAGCTGACATGCAAAGCATGCGTTTGCATGAGAGCTGCACCCCCAGCCATGTGCTGTGTTACTCCTCCCTTGCCTACGACACTGCTGTGCGGTCGCCTTCTTAGCCAGGCTGTGCTGGCAGAGGTACAGTGGTCTACAACTGTGCAGGGTTTGGCTGTTTGTTTAGCAGTGCTGGGGATGGAACCCAGGGCCTCACAGTGTCAGGTAAGCACTCTAGCTCCAGCCCACACCAGCCCCTAACTGTGGTTTTAATTTGTGTTTCTCTGTATATGCAAACGCAGGCTACTTCTCATACTTCTTCACAACCTACTAGTCATTTGGATCCTCTTTTGTGAAATGTCTGTCAAGTTTTTGCTTGTTTGTTTGAAGAGACAGGGTCTCACCACATTGGCCAGGTTGGCCCTAAACCCCTGCCTCAGCCTCCCCAGCAGCTGTGACTACACCTGTACCGCCGCGTCTAGCCAAAGATACGCGCCTTCTGCATACTAGGAAATCATTTCACCCCTCCACTGCGCCCTACCCCTTCCAAGCATTTGAGCATCTTCTGTTGCTTATCTGTCAAGTAACACACACTCCCTGCTGCGGCTCCATTTGATCTGCACATCAGCTGGGAATGGCGGCATCTTCACAGCACTGAGTCTTCCATTCGGAATACGGTCTCCTCAGGTTATCCTGGCCTTTTATTCCTTATAACAGCATTTCACAGCTCTCAGGGTAGGAGTCTTACATATTTTTGTTAGATCTTTCCTAGGCTTTGATATGTTTTCATGCTACTGTAAATAGTATCAATAAAATTCTCATTTTGCAACTGCTCTTGGCTGGTTCACAGCTGATCACTGGCTAAAGCAACTGGTCACCCAGTGTGGACAGGTACAGACAATCATCTCGTGGGACGGGAATGACAGTCTTTTTACCCCTCCTCCTTACTCCAGCCATAATCCCTTTCCCTCCCTTTTCCCTCATCTTCTTGACAGGCTGGAGCCTCTGACCTAACACAGCAGGTGTCCTCACCTCCTTCTGGGTCTCAGGGGACAGCACTCCTGTCTGTCAGTGCTAAAGATTTTATTAAGGCAGTTCTCTTCCTCCTCTTCCTCTTCTTGAGATAGGGTCTCCCTATGTGGTTTGGGTTGGCCTTGAACTCACTGTGTGGCACAGGTTGGCCTCAAATTGGCTTTAGTCATCCTGCCTCAGCCTCCAGAATGCTGGGATTACAGGGCGCCCAGGAGAGCTGGTTCCCTTCTAAACCTAGTCTGCTTAGAGGACGGCGAACCTCTTAGAGACCAAGCACCCAAACTCCAGCCCCAAACCCACTTATCTATGGCAAAGTACCAGCACTGTAATCAAATCCAAACAGTCAGCTACTGGGACGAGGCTGGGGCAACAGACAGACAGGGCTCTGTGTTCCCTCTGCGGCACTCATGCCACAGGTCTGCCACCATTGGCTTAGAGACTTTTGTTTGGCTTTGGTAGTACTGGGGACTGAACCTAGAGCTCTGCATATAGCTACATACCAGCTTTTTACATTTTATTTCAAGACAAGGTCTTGCTAAACTGCCCAGGCTGGGCACAAACTTGCAAACTTCCTGCCCCAGCCTCCTGAGCAGCTGGGATTATAGGTGTGCCTCACTGTACCCAGCTAGATCTTAACCATGAATGGGCACTGAGTTTTATCAAAAGCTAGTCCAGCAGCCACTGAAATGACCACATTTCCTCAGTATCTTGGTACTGCGCATGCAGGCAGGGGCAGGAAGCTTGGGGAGCCACGCTGCTGCTGTGTGGACTGGTGGGAGTGGACACGACTTGGGCACAGGTCAGAGCTTCTGTCCCATTGTAAGCAGAGGAAAAACAGAATTAAAGATGAAGAAACCATTTCTAGGTTCCTTGGGAGATGCCAAGAATACAGAAATCAGATTATTTAGATGGAATGAGCTATCACTACTATGTATGTCCCTTTCCTAAAGCTCGGTTTGTGATTTCTGTGTTTCAAGGTAGCAACAGAAATAAGTTTAAAGCAACTCCAAGCGAGCTCATTCTATGAACTATTTTCACAGAAGTGCACAGGGCTTCGACTGACCATGCACACAAACCCATGCTGTGAAACTCAGGTGCTCCGGGACGTTTGCTGTTTTGGAACCTTTGTCCCCAGCACAGAGCCACTGACCTTAACACTGAGAACTAAATGACTTCTAGGAGATAATTCTAACACTGCAGATAATTTTATAAATTGTCATTCACACTTTCCCTTTAGCCAGCCTTCATGCTGCAGTAGATGCTACAGGAAACATGTACCCAGGCGAGGGAACCTAGGTTTGGAGAGGAAGCCTGAAATCGCTCCTCATTCACGCCAGCCACCCCATGTTCAGGCCTTCCCTGGAACAGTGAAGGTAGAGTTGGAGGTTTCAGGAGTGGGGTGTGGCAGTTGAAGCTCTGGCAGCAAACAGAAAAAGCAGAAAGACAGAAAACAAACTTAGGTCAGAGAAGAGAAGGCCTAGAGAAAGGACCTTCAAGCACATCAAAGTCACAGTGCTCCCCAGCAGGTCGCCCAGAGGCCAGAGCAGCCCAGTAATAGGCTGCCCTGGGGCAGGAAGGACAGTCACCAGTAAGCACCCAGGCAGTGCAGGAAATTCCACAGTCCTTGGTGAGCTGGGAGGTGTGAACAATGGGCGACAAAGTGGGATGGAGCGGGCCAGGATGGTGGGCAGCCAGGGACTTGTAAGAAACTACAAGTTAGCAGCAGGATCACATCTACCCGTAAGGCCCCAATAAGGAAGAGGGCTGCTCCTAAAAACAGACTGTTCCCAGCACAAAACAGCAAAGCCTCACACAAACTCAGTGCAGAAACACAGTGCTCAAGTGAGAGAGGACTACAACAGCTGGGGCACTGATGCACACCTGTGATCCCAGCTCCTTGGGAGGATGAGATGAAAGAGTCACAGGCTTGAAGCCAGCCTGGGTAACTTAGTGAGACGGTGTCAAATTTAAAAGGGCCAGGGCGTAGCATTGTGATAGAGTACCTGCCTCCTCGCATGCATGAAGGCCTGGGTTCATACCCAGTAACTCACACTCTCTCACTCTCTCTCACTCTCTCTCTCTCTCTCTCTCTCTCTCTCTCTCCCATATACATATAAAAACTACCATTAATAGAGCAATATACAAGGAAGACCAAAAGAAGATACTTACTACGAATCTACTATGCACTTTTTCCAGGAGCCTTTTTTCATTCAGAGCCATAGCTTCACCTTTCCTCCTCTTAATTCTTTTTTTTTCTAGCTTTTTGCAGGCATACATTTTTCCTGTAGCTCGCACTTGACAGGCACAAACCTAGTGTAAAAAGGGGCTTACGTAATGGGAAATTCCCCAGGCCCCGCCCACACAGCTGCTTCCTCTCGGGCCTCTCCAGAATGCCCAGCGGAGCCTCTGAAGAGCCTGCGCTGCTTCAGTCATGCACTTGTGGAGCTGGGTGCTCCTGATTCCAGCTTCTCTACGAGAGGTGGCTGAGAGTCAAGTGAACCTAAGGATGTGCTTTAGAAACCGTGAGACATGATAAAACATGACTCACTGTTCATAGGTGATCATGTTATACTTGTTTTATTTAACTACACCCCATATTTTTATTTTTGTTTTTCATAAAAGAGCAAATATGTAAAATGCAAAATTTTAAAGTCTTAATTTTTTAAATTAAAAAGCATAGACACATTTTCCAAGGCTGGACACAGTGGTCTAAGCTCCTTGGGAAGCTGAGGCAGGAGGATCACTTGTGTCTAGGTATTCAAGGCCAGCCTAGGCAACATAGTGAGACCCTTTCTTAAAAAAAGTTCGAAAAGGTAAAGAAAGACATTTCATAAAATCCATAGATTTTTATATCTTTAATTAATTTTGTTCTAAAAGTAATACTTATGAATTATCACAGCTTTACAGTATGAACATTTACTTGTGGGGAACAGGAAACCCCAGGCCTCCACTTCCACTTATCCACATCTGGCCACTGTTTCCTCCGACTCCCTCTAACTTCACCCAGACTCACATGTGCACCCCTCCTATGTACACCCCACGTGCACACACACCACACAGAAGATCACTTTAAAAGAAAATATAAGCCATGATATAATTTATGCATCAATAAATCATTTGGATGGTGAAATACAATACTTACTATGTGAAATACTAAAAGTAATAAAGACAATGGTAAAATCTTTGTTATCTTTTTTTTTTTTTTTTTTTTTTTTTTTGGTACCGGGGATCGAACTCAGGACCTTGTGCTTGCAAGGAAGGCAGCGACACCAGAGCTAAATCCCTGGCATATCTTTGTTATCTTAATTCCAAAGTAAGTATCATTAAGTCCACCTTTCTGTGTAGCTGTATACCTGGCTTCCCTGGCTCCTGCCTTTTAGGGACAAGACTGGGCTCGTGCATGCTACAGAATATGGAATAGTTCAGAATCCCCCTTTTTAATCTTATAGTGTGACTATTTTCCCATTATTAAACATTCTCCTGAAATATGACTATTGCAAGATGTGTTTAATCATTTTCCTCCCACTAAGTCTTGGGGCAGTCTCTGCCTATCTCCTTAGCATTAACTTCAGATGAATTCCATCAGGTGAAACCTGGCAGTCAGAGAAAGGCAAAGAGCATCAGGTACGCTATCAACAGAAGCACAAGTCGGGCCCAGGCCATGAAGAGCTGCCTCGGCCAATCACCTGGAAACCCAGGTGACTGTGTTCAGAGTAATGGATAACATCATAAATACCCTGTCTTTCACAACAGCTCGACTTGGTTATGGTGTTTGTTCTTCCTGAGCCCATTTAAAATCTCATGAGGCCATAATCAGGACTTCGTTCTTTTGTAACCATAAGATACTCAGGTCCCTGAAATCTCTTTTCTTTTCTTTGATGATGAGCAGAATCTGAGCCTTTGCTCTTAGAGATCACAAAGGGCAGCACAGTGAGTAGAAGACAGATGGGTCTACAGTCCGGAGACTCAGACAGAAGACAATTTCCTAGAGACCATCATGTACAACCTGTGGACATATTTTGTTTGCCTACACTTTTTAAATGTTATAATAGAAATATTTTTATAAGAAAGTTCTGTTACTTAAATATATTAACTGTTTTATATTTCTACACTTGATCTTAGCCAAAAAGCCAAGAAGTGATCTTTTATATTTCTTATATGAAGCCCAAGAAAATTCTTCTTCACTCAAAAAGAGGGGAACAAAAAAGAAAATCAAGGCAAGCCTCAGGCTGGACACAGCTGGCAGCCTTCAGTGGAGGAGACCAAGTGTTTCATCAGGTCTCAGAACCAAGGCAATGGTGGGCATGGAGGCACCCCTGTAATCCCAGCACTCAGGAGGCTGAGGCAGGAGGATCACCGAGAGTTCGAGGCCAGCTTGGGCTATATAGAGTTCAAGGCTAGCCTAAACTACATATTGAGACCCTGTCTCAAAAGAAAAATAAAAAATAGGAGGGAAGGGGATTTAGCTCACCACACCTGCCTTGCAAGTGTACGGTCCTACGTTTGATCCCTGGTACCAAAAATAAAGAAATAAAGAAATAAAGAAATAATAAAGCCGGGGATTTAGCTCAGTGGTTCGGTGGCCTGCCTTGCAAACACAAGGACCCGAGTTCAATCCCCAGTACCATAAAAAAAAAAAAAAGAAAGAAAGAAAAAGAAAGAAAGAACGAACTAAATAAAAATTTAAAGTAACAAAAAAAAGAACTGAGGCGATGATTGCTGGTCAGGTGTTCTGTGTGCCCAGTGTCTCACACAGTGCAGTGCTCCTGGCTCAGGCCTTCTCATTACTTCTCATTTTCTCATCTTGCTTCTGCTTTGAATTGGAATTTGGGAGCATGTGTGGTTTAAAACACATCTGAGCAGTGTTAACAGGCTTCTGATGTAAACCTCAGTGTTAGGGCCTCATAGCTCCCCCTGCTCTTAGAGACTTGTAAATTCTGGGACTGAGAAGATCACGCTAGATGATTATGAGGTAATTAGCATCTCTGTGAAGACCCACACCGCGCTGTATGCTATAGCACTTCTCTACTGCAGTGGTCTCTCTCTAGGGCACATCTTATTTTATTATTATTATTATTATTATTATTATTATTATTATTATTACTATTATTATTATTATTATTATTGGTACTGAGGATCAAACTCGTGACCTTGCACTTGCAAGGCAGGTAGTGGAAACACTTGAGCTAAATTCCCAGCCTGGGCACATCATAAAGACTCTCACGCATGAACCAACACAGTGAACATTCCTCTTTCTGTTTTCCCCCAGACTGAACTCAAGGCCTGGCATCTGGTAGGCAAGTGCTCTACTCCTGAGCAGCACTCCCAGCCATGGACATGTGTGGGGTTTTTTTGTTGTTTTTTTTTTTTTGGTTTTTTTTTTCTTGGCAATAATGGGGATTGAACCCAGGGGTGCTCTACTCTGGAGCTAAAATCCCAACCCTTTTCTAGTTTTTATTTTGAGACAGGGTCTCACCAAGTTGCCCAAGGACTCAACCTTTTTTTGAGGTAGAGGTGAGGTACATATGTATCCAAACATCAACAGGTTAAATAAACACTGAATAATATACTCTGGCCAGGCATGTTAGCACATACCTATAGTCCAGTTACTCAGGAGGCTGAGACAGGAGGATCATTTGAGCTCAGCAGTTTAGCCAGCCTGGGCGACATAGTGAGTTGGTGTGTGTGTATCTGTGTGCCTGCCTGACTCTGACTCTGTCTCTGTTTTGCTCTGCAGTAGTGGGGATTGAACCCAGGGCCTTCATACCAAGCTATATCTCTTGCCCTTTTTATTTTTTTCATTTTGAGACAAGATCTTGTTAAGTTGCTAAATTGCCCAGGTTGGGTTTGAACTTGCCACCTTCCTGCCTCAACCTCTCAGACTTCTGGGATTATAGGCAGACCTCATCTCTTAAAAAACGTACTTTTAACTACATAAATTTTGGGCTAGTCCTAAACTGCAGAACATAGTAATGGTCTGCAGCCATACCACCCTGAAAGGCCCGATCTTGTCTGATCTCAGTAGGCTGGGCTTGGTCACTACATTTTTTTTTTTTTTGGTACCAGGGTTCGAACTCAAGACCTTGCACTTGCGAGGCAGGTGGCAGCACCACTGAGCTAAATCCCTGGCCATTGTCACTACTTAAAAGGGAGAAATGGAGTAACAGAAATTCTACAATATGAAAACAATAATCGTTCATTCTGGATAAACTGCCTGCAATTGAACAGCAAGCAAGGGAAACAGATTCCTTTAGAAATAGGAAGTGGAAGATGAACTCATAAAAATTAGAGATGTTTTTGAAGGCTTGTAGGAAAATACCTTTTGCTCAAAATCCCATCTCCTTTCTCTGGGCTGGCTAACAGAATTTCCCAAACACAGTAAGGAAATGAATGTCCTGGTACAGCCACACATTACCTGGTGCCTGTGTTGCAATGGCTTGCTGTTACTGTCTAGAGCAGAAGGGCTGCTCACACTGCTCCATATTACTCACCTCTCCAAATCCGCCTTTTCCCAGAACTCTGTAATGTCTAAATGTGTTCTTGGTTACTGGCTGCCTAATCAATTAAAAAGAAAGTTTAGGTCTCACGTCATACTGCTTCTTTAAAACAGGAAGCCTACCTAGGTCTCCTGATAGCTTTACTCACTGGCCCTACTGCTCCATGGGGTGCCCAGAACAAGGATGGCTATGCTCAGGGACGGCTGCTCTCTCTAGCAGGACAGCTCTCCACTAGCACTATGAGAAACAGCACATTTAAGATTTATAGAAAACAGAGCCAAGCATGGTGGCACATGCCTGTAACCCCAGGACTCTGGGAGGCTGAAACAAGAAGACCACAAGTCTGAGTCCAACATGGGCAACTTGGCAAGACCCTGTCTCAAAATGAAAAACACCAGGTCTGGTGGTACATGTCTACAGTCCCAGCACTCTGGAGGCTGAGGCAGGAGGATCGCTGCAAGTTCAAGGCCAGCCTGGGGTTACAAAGTGAGACCCTGTCTCAAAAAAACAAAAAACAACCAAAACCAAAATTATATATATATATAGGGGGTAATAATAAATTGAAAATAAAATAAAAATCAAAAGCACTGACACAGATGCCGATCAGTGAGTTACCCTCTGTAACTAAGGATAGGCCTCCAAGCAGCCTATACCACACGCAGAGCTACTTGTGTTTACAAATCAGTTTTAGGAATGAATACTGCTGCGCCTGTCAGAAAACTACTGAAGACAGTGACAATATATAGGGGGTAATAATAAATTGAAAATAAAATAAAAATCAAAAGCACTGACACAGATGCCGATCAGTGAGTTACCCTCTGTAACTAAGGATAGGCCTCCAAGCAGCCTATACCACACGCAGAGCTACTTGTGTTTACAAATCAGTTTTAGGAATGAATACTGCTGCGCCTGTCAGAAAACTACTGAAGACAGTGACATCAACACAACACTGCCCTTGGGGGAAAGAACCTTAATCCAAACAAAAAATTGCACCAGCTATAACTGCAAATATAATCAATGATAATTCTAGTAGGAGGAGAATAATCATAATAGCACCAGTAGCAGCTGACTTTCTGGCACTTACTTTGAGCACTGAACACTGGACTAGGCAATTTTCTTTTGTGGGGGGGTACTGGGGATAGAACCCAGGGCCTTGCACATGCTAGGCGAGTGCTCCTCAACCCCTTTTTATTTTTTGAGACAAGGTCTCACTTAGTTGCTTATGCTGCACTTGAGTTGTGATCCTCCTGCCTCAGCTTCCCAAGTAACTGAGATTATAGGTGTGCACCACCATGTCTGGCTGGCCTGGCATTTTATACTCATTTCCCAGGTGATCTTAGCAACGCTTTTACAGGGTATGTTCCGTAATTCTCTCGCTGTACCAAAGCAGGACAAGAAGCTCACAATGCAGCCACTTGCCTGCTAGTCACCCAGCTAGCAGGAGGCCAAGAAGGCCTCTGCTGTCTGGCCCCCACATCCTGTTTTCCTCTTATAAACCTAGGACATATTTTATTTTCTAGCCACTGCACCAACAAGCTAAACGCCATTTTTTTGCCCAGCTTCCATTTTTAAGAGAGAAAATAGCTTCCAGTGAACCAGAACAAATTATATAACACGGTATCTACAATCTATTGTATCTCATATTAATAACTTTTGTATAAAATACTGCACAGAATTCAAGATTTCTAGTAGTATTGTGACAGAGGGAAAAGTAGACAGCAATCAGTATGCATTATGAGAAGTTACTACTTGTTTAAATTAAGTTTTAAATTAAAACTTACCTTTCCAGCCATTTCCATTGTAAAAATCGAGAAAAATACGCACTTTCTTTGTATTCTTCAAATGGTTTTTTACTCAAATAGTTATGGACAACACTAGAAAAGATGTTACACAGTTATAGACATTTGTTGCAGAAAACTACACAAACTGTCTGGGTGTCAGAGCAGGCGGCCAGAGCCCTGGGCACGGACCCCTCCAGGCAGCACTCTGGCAGGAGTGGCCCAGAAGGCTCTGAAGAAGACAGCGCTGGGCTGAAGCAAAGCTACATGGGTGAAGGGGAGGAAAGGGGGTCTGAACACCGGCAAGAAGCGCTAGTAGGTCAGGGACCCAGAAGGCACTGCGACTGTCCTGAGCATTCCCTGAGTTTCAGAATCTGAGCCAGTCACATGTTTTCCATTTCACTTTATTTTATTAAAAGAGGTGGCTTTTGTGGGTTCATTGATGTTACAGAACAATTCTCAAAACAAGGCTCCCTATGGGTCCTGACAACCTGAGACTTTCATAGGGGTGTTCTCTGCAGAAACCAATCTGTGTTAGTCTTGGACATCATGGGCCTTTCTGAAGTCTCATTCTCTCGGGGCACAAGGCATGGTGACATCACTGCTCAGAGGAATGGGGGTCTCGCATGACAAACACCACCCACATAACAAAGGCTCACTGGCCCTCAGCTCTTTTAGGAATGAGATCCAGAGGGCTGAAAGTACTAGCCTGTCACTGTGAGTCTGCATGCTGTCCCAGAGGCTGTCTGGAGCAGCCCCTCACTTCCCATTCCTTTCCATAGGGCCCTCTGCAAACACTGTGGAAACCAGGTTGCTAACTGTCCTTGGAGCCCATGTCCGTGGGAGGGAACCAACTTCTCTCTCCCCCAGCAATGTGCCTCTCACATCCGCGTGCAGGTGAGGTCTCTGGGGAGCGTCAGAGGGTCAAGGGCACAGCCTGCCACAGCATCTGGGTAGGAGGTCCTGCCTAGTGGGTCACTCGCTGTCCCCTGCCTCCACCCACACAGTTCTAGCCAAGGTGACCAAAATCTTACGGTGCTGAGGGGGCGGGCAGAAGCCGGAGCGCACAGCTCGAGGCCGGACGCAGAGGTGGATAAGCAATCCGCGACTCTCCTCACTCAACTCGCTCCACCTCAGTCCCTGAAAGGTGCCATGGCCTCTGTCACCTCTGTGTGGCAGCCAAATCCAAACTCAACCTCACAGGGAACACTCGGGGTTCAGTGTTTTGCAGTTTTGCTCGTGACTCAAACATACCTCCAACTCAACACTTCCCCAGCAAGACCATGCAGTCTCCCTGCCCACCAACCGCCTAGTTACCTCCATTGCCACCATCTCACTGGCACATCTCACCTGGTCCAGTGCCTCGGCCTCTTGGGAGGCTCCCGGGCTCTGACCCCTTCCAAGTCACCCTGTGCACTGCAGTATGAGAAGCCTTCTCAAAAGCTGCAATGGTCATTCCCCTTAACTGCTTTCCAAGTGACCTGTTTCCTTACTATGGGAACAGGGACCCCCACACAGCTACAAAGAGCACTGCATGCCCGGGGTGCCATCACTGGGGAAACCACTGTGGTCCCCAAGACCAGAATCTGCGGAAGTGCTCTGCATTAGAGCTTCCCTGTCCAAGTGGCAAAGACCCAGAGAAAGATACTTCACCAAGTGCCTCAGTCTGCAAAGCTGTTTTGAGAACCTTCTCGTCCTAGGTACAGGCATGAATGAGAAGTAGAGCAGAGGTGGCCCAGAGCCGTTACAGGGATGGCAGGGCAGTGGGGTTCAGTGCCACGACCCTCAGGGAAGAGTCTGTGTATGTGTAACTACCGCTCTTCGTTACCCTGTCTGGTGAAAGGGATCATTTTAATTTGGAATGTGCACTGACAACTTGTCTTATGCAGAGAAACTTCCTGTCAACACTCTGTCCTGGGCATCACAGGTAAAACACAGAGCTACACACAAACACTCACCTCTTGCATCCCTCGAAGACGTTTTTGGAGGAGTTCTGCTTCAGATCCCATCTGCATTCTCTCACGGCAGCCGCGGAGATCTCTGGTAAGGGCGCATCTGCGTTCTCAATACGGCACAGACCAGATACAAAACAATTAGTGATTTTATAGTTTACCGATGACAAACAGAAATTAATGTCTGCAGGGAAAACAAAACCATAAAACGTATAAAGTAACAAGTCAGAATGCCCTGCCGTGCCCCTCTCCAGTCAGCCTGATGGCCACCTTTTCCAGCCAGTTCCTATGGACGCGAAGCCTGTCCAGGTGGGAAGGCAGGCTGTTGAGAGGTCTGTGCACACCTGTGTTCATCAGCCACAAGGTGGAAACAACCAAACGTCCAGAACTGCTGAATGGATGAACAAATGCAGCACACGCATAGCCTTGGAAAGGGAGAACACTGGAGTGGGGGTACAGCTCAGAGGGAGAGCACGGGCCTGGTCTGTAAGGCCCAGTTCCGCCCCAGCACTGTAGGCACATGCACGCACACGCACTCATGCACACACTCACGCACACACACACACACACACACACACGCACGCGCGCACTGACTCAGGCCGTTTCTGCAGTGTGGAGGAACCTTCGAGGACATTATGCTTTGTAAGGAAAGTCAGTCACGGGGGACAAATACATACTGCACGATTTCATTGATGACACACCTACAGGAGAGGTCACAGAGAGAAAGTCCAAGGGTAACTACCAGGGGCTGGAGAGAGGTGAATGATTAGGGAGTGGCTGAATGGTAGGTTTTCAGGGGTTTTGTTTTGTTTCATTTTGTTTTTAAGACAAGGTCTCACTATGGAGTTCAGGCTGGCCTTCAACTTACTGTGATCCTCTGGTCTCAGCCTCCTGAGTGCTGAGATTACAGATGTGCATTACCACACGAGGCTACACTTTTAGTTTTGCAAGATAAAAAAGGCTCTAGAGATTGATTACAGATCAATGTTACTGTTCTTAATGCTATTCAACTATACACCTAGGAAGATTTAACAGTAAATTTTACATTATGTGTTTTCCAACACAGTTGAAAACATTTTAAATCACACACACACAACACACCTCTCCTCAGAAATACACACATCATCTTTGTCCTCGTGGCTAGTATTGCACTGTGCCCCTATGGGGAACCTCTGTTACTCCGGGACACAGGCTCCCCTGGCCCTGCGCGTATTCTACTGCTAATTTTGCCACTGCGAGTGTCACTACAGCAACGTCTTGGGGCGCTTGGTTTATTGAATGGGCTCCTAAACGAAATTCCCACCTCATGGTACACACATTGTGAACACTGGTCGTGAGACGCCCTCAAAAGATTCTACAGTGACACTCACACTCAGTATCCCTACGCGCCACCTTCCCATCCTCTCTAACCCTCATCCACAGGACTCTGGAAAAAATGAAAAAGGACAAAATGATTGTGTATATCAATGAAAAAAATACCTGGATGATGTTCAATTAGTTAAACTGTAATCAGAAACGAGACACGCATTCCTCAGTTATTTCATCAAAGACGTTGCACTACCGACAGAAATATGCAACTAGAGGACACTCATTGAAACAAAGTCTAGAGGTTGAGGGTACATGCCTAGCATGCAGGAGGCCCTGGGTTTGATCCCCAGTACTGCAAAAAAACCAAACAAGAAACAAAGAAAATTACCAATATTGTTATAATTCATAACAATTAACAGCTGACATTTACATTAGAAGAGGCACTTTGGTAATATCACTTCATTTGGGCTTGCGGCCATGGTAAGTGAGAAGAGTCGCCCAGAAGTTACAAACCTTGCTGGTGACCACCCGAGTGGGAGTGCTCAGGCAAGCTCTGCCCTGCACGACAAGCCCAAGACCTTTCTATGCAGCCAGGCCACAAGAAGAAAAGCATTTAAAGCCAATGTTAGTGACACACACCTGTAATCCCGGTCCTCAGGAGGCTGAGGTAGGAGGATCGCCACAAGTTTGATGCCAGCCTGGGCTATGTAGTGAGTTCAAGGTCAACCTGAACTATATAGTGAGACCTTGTCTCAAAAAAAGAACAGCTTTTAAGGAAAGACATTTGCTTGGTCATTTACTCAATAAATATACATTGTTCCAAGCACAGGAGACAGCAAAAAACAATATAGCATTTTCTCAGAAAACAAATCCAGTATTGCAACAGTCTTATCTCCCCTTCCAAGAACTCCATTTTCTGAAACTAAGTAGCAGGTAATTCTATTAAGACTTTTCAATGATTAACTCCAAAAGGCATCCTAGTTTCAATATCTTTAAAGACTTCCATTAATAGATACTAATTCCCACAGAAAGAAGAAATGCTTCTAATCCCCACAAGCAGAAAGACGAGATAAGCTAAGGCACAGGTACACCAAGTCAAGGTGCAGTGTTACTGGCCTGATGCGAAACAAACAAAAGCAGAACTGAGACTCCTACATTAAGAAATGACAATTACAGGCAGTAGGGTACATTTGCCAAATGCTACAGTGCTTTACTTCTTAGCATTCCGGACACAGGCAATTTTAACAAAAAAATGATGGGAAGGAAAAGTACATGGATTTTGCAAATTAATGCTCATTTTTCCATGTTTAAAAATCCATTTACCTTGCTATTCACTTTAAGTTGAGCTGTTTTACTGTTAACTTGCAATATGGTAGGATAGAAGAAAAAATAAGTAGAAAAGAGACAAAGAAAATAGCAATTTTAAAATTGTACTTTCAAGAAAAACTGCAGCTTCAGGACACAAAAGCTATTCAAGGTTCCACTGCCTTTTTCCCTTCCAGGAAACTCAGGCAAAATAGCTCCTCTGAGTTTTGCAGATCCAATAGGAGCTGTAACCTAAGCCCCTAGGCTCTTCCAACCTCGGACTTTGGCCCGGAGGAATTGAGGAATCAACACAGCCAAGCAAAGGGCAGCCTGAAGACACACAGGAGTCCACACCCCAGCTTTCTGCCCAAAGACCCCAAGACCCCATGAAAACCCTGAGACCACAATGCACCTGCCTCTCTCGGGCCGCACCGTGTTCTCTCTGGGTGTAGATACCTTCCACTGGGCACCATAAACCTTTCTGTGCCTCTCACCTTCGCATCCTGTAATTCTTTTCTGTGACCCTGTAAGTGGGGTGAGATAGGTCCCCATCTCTTCAATGGGGCACCTCCTTTGGCCCTATCAGGTGACAGTAAGAATTCTTTATATATTCGGGATATTAGAAAATGATATAGTTTTATCTCTTATGTTGAGGTATGTATCCTTTCAAAGATGCTTTCACATGGATATCCAGTTGTTCTAGCACTGATTGTCAAAAAACTTTTCTTTGTCCCCTTGAATTGTCTCAGGTCCTTACCATGTGTTGTAGCCTACATCTAAATGTCCCTCCTTAGAGGTGAGTCTTTGGGAGGTGACTGGATCAAGAGTGTGGTACTAGATTAGTCTACTGATTGGTCTGGCATAATTCTGGGTTTAGATCATGGACTTCCTGAAGAAGGAAGACCCACCTTTGGTGTGCGTGACAACAGCCAATAGGCCTATAGCCTGGATGGAATAAAAAGGGAGAGAAGGGAAGATGCACCGCTTCCTGCCTGCCCTTCCATGGGCTGTTTCTCCTCTACCATGCTGGTCTGCTTTAGAGCGAACTAATTATGGACTGAAACTTCTACAAATTGTGAACCTTTCTTCCTTTAACTTGTGGATGTTAAGTATTATGTCCCAGCAATGAGAAAGTAACTAAGACACTATAAGTCAACTGATTGTAAATGTACCAGTTTATTTCCAGACCTTCAACTCTAAGCCATTAACTTGTGGGTCTAACCTTATCCAAGTACTGTACCATAATGTCTTAATTATTTGTAGTAAGGTTTGAAATTGAGAAATGTGTGTCCTCTCTCCTTTTTAAGAACATTATAACTATTTTTGGTTTTATTTGTTTTTTTAGGTTTTTTTAGGGTCGATCCAGGCACTGCTTATGTGCAATTAAATCTCCTCAATGAATAAATTTGTTATTTTACTTCCATTCTGCTGCCTCTCTGCGGGTCACTTGCCACCATTCCCAGTTAAGAATATTATAACTATTTTGAGTCCTCTGAATATCTATATAAATTCTAAAAGCAGCTTGTTAATTTCTGCAAAATAAGCAGCTAGAATTTTGGTATGTATTATATTAAATTCATGTACAACTTGGGGGGTGTTACACTGTAAAAATAGTAAGACATTTTCCTCCAGTACTGAGGACTGATCCCAAGACCTCTGCACTAAGCTACATCCCCAACATCTTTCTTCTGAGACAAGGCTTCACTAAGCTACCTCTCACTAAACTGCCAGATTGCCCAGGTGGGGCTTAAATTCATAATCCTCTGCCTCAGCCTCCCAGAGTACATGTCTAGCAATAAGATTGTCTTTGGATCCATGACCACAGGGTTTCTTTTCATTTATTTAGAGTTTTTTTTCCTTTTCAGTGTACAAATATTGCACTTATTTTGATGCATTTATTCCTAAGTATTTAACTGTTTTGATGAAAATATAAATGGAATTGCTTTTTTACTTTAATAGCTAGTATATAATAATACAGTATACTTTTTGTTTTGTTTTGTTTTGTAGCAGGGATCAAACTTGGGTCCTTGTGCTTACAAGGCAGGTGGCGGAACCACTGAGCTAAATCCCCGGCCCTACAATATACTTTTATATAGTGATCTAATACAAGGTGTAACTGGCAAAGAGGTGAATGTTCAAATGTTTTAAAATGTTGAGTGGGAGTGGTGGTGCATGCCTGTAATTGCAGCTATTCAGGAGGCTGAGTCACAAACATTTCAAGTTCAAGGCCAGCCTGGATATCCCAGCAAGACCCTGTCTCGACAAATCAAGCTGGGGATGTTGCTCAGTGGCAGAATGCCCTTGGATTTAATTCCTGGTACTGAAAGAATAAACAAAACTGCAAAAAATTATTACAGTAAAATACACATTGCTATTACTGCCCCTCAAAATACTTCTCCTTGGTTCAAACACTTATTGCATCATTCTCGCCACTGTTCTAAAGTCTTTTTGGACGTCCTCTTTTGTGAGTGTCTCTGGTTGCAGTTATAGCTGCCTGTATGTCTTTAACTGATATAAATGTTTCCCTTTCGTGGTCATTTTGACTTTGAGGAGGAGCCAGAAGTGGCATGGTACTGGACCCTGTGAATAAGGTAAATGAGGACACAGCATCATACTGTTAAGCATGGGCCTTCCTGTTGTATGGTATTTGGCAGCAGTATTTATATTTTTATTATATCTTATAAAATTACCTCAACAGTGGTATTCTGTTACAACAGTCTGCCTGATAGGACACCATGCCACAGGTTTGTAACTGTCTTCCCCTCCTTTTTAGCATTTGCCATACCCACCCACCACTACTGACAGCCCTCTTTGCTAAGGGGGTATTTGTTCAGGAGAACTGAAAGAAGTTGACAGGAAAAAACAAAAGAACTAGACAAATGAAACTTCTATTTCTCCCAATTAGTGTCTGGGGGTACCTACAGATATGCAGAAGTTATAATAGCCGTGTTTGAAAAGAATGACCTGTGAGCCTGGGGCTGAGCTGGACACATGCTTTGGAGTCAGATCCACCTGATTCTGACTCTGCTATAAACGGTTCAAGCCTATTAAAGCGCCCTGGTCTTTCCTTGGCTCTCTGCCTTGAGCACAATAAGGCTCCCTCAGCTGGAAGCCCTGTCTTTTCTAGCTAGCTAGGTTAGAATACGAATATTCTGGACTTACTCTCACTAAACTCGTCTCTTAATTCCAGTCTCTACATGGGGGCTGCAACACTTACTAGCTGTGTAACTTCAAAAAAGGCACTTAGAGGTAGGCCGGCCCCAATCCACCGAGGGAAGGAGAACCACGCCTGCTCCCGACCCAGCAGCCATCGCTCAAGCGCCGGGAAGGTAGCCGTGCGGATGCCCCTGAACCCCCATAAGCCACCCCCCCCAGCACTCTCAGACCTCCTGACTGTCCAAGTCTTTGGACCCACTCTGCAAAGACAGAGGTGGTCATCAAAGGTATTTTTCTGAGTTCCCAACTTTGAACATCTTTAAAGAAAGGGCGTGGGAAACCTGTAATAGAACGTTGCAGAGTTCAACCATTCAGAAGGTTGGGGAACTCAATCTGGGCCTTGCAGCCCGAGGTCATCAGCGTCATGGGGTTCAGCAATCAGCTAACTGAGATCAGGGGTCTTGCATCCTCGTTCTGTCTGAGCCATTAAATGGCAAATATACTATATTGAAAAGTTTGTTCACTGCAGACATGTTCTGGACTGCTTCTTGATTTCAATTTAATTCAAATGATTTAAGGGTGATAGACTAGTGACTACCACAGGTGGTCAGTGTCCAAGTTGTGCTTGATCTTAATGTGTTGCTGATTGTATCAGTTGGGGTAAA